GTGTGTGTGTGTGTGTGTGTGTGTGTGTGTGTGTGTGCGTGCGTGCGTGCGTGTGTGCACACACATGTGAGTGGGCGAGACTCACATGTACCTTCGTGTGAACACTGGCTGAAATGTGACACCGCAGGTTGTAGAGCGTTGCTCTGACCGTGTGGAGGAGCCGTTCCTTCACGTGGAGATGAAATCATATATGAGAATCAAATGTTTGAAAGTTTCACAGTACAAACTGTGAATGTTGACACACTGTGGTATTTAATCCAGATGAATAGATGGACAGAGAAATATCTTTATTGTGAAATGAAACCAGACGTCTGTCCCGGTGCACATATTAAAGTCAGTTATTCCACATTTACAAAATCTTTTGTTACAAAACAAACAACGCACATTAGATGACATGACCTCATGACCTGTGTATTTATTTCATAATAATAATAATGATGATGATGATGATGATGATTATAATAATATCCTGTTGCTGGTGCCGGTTGTCTTGCAGATACGCACCAGTAGGTGGCGCCCTCCTCTGATCCTCAGAAACAGGCGGACACGTCGTGTTTCTTCGACAGAGTCCGGAACCTGGTGAACGGATCAGTGTGGAGGTTGTTCACGGAGCGAGGACTTCACTGGAGCTCTTCTTCAGAGACACACACACACTCACACACTCACACACACACACACACAGGTGAGTGTCTGCTCCGTCTCCAGATGTGTGTGTCTGCAGCTGCATGAACTGGGTTTCACTGTAGAAGCAGATGGTTGTGTTGTTGTGTTGTGTTGTGTTGTTCAGTGTTTGATGTCAGACAGAAGCAGAGACAGGAGAGAAACTGTGAAGTGTTTAAAACAGATGTTTCACTGAAGTTTGCGTTTAATTTAAATTTAAAGGATTTAAGTTGCTTCATTAGATTATTTCCATTTTTCTGTGGCTGTTTTTCTACACGTCAATAGATCTCTCTCTCTCTCGCTCTCTCTTTCTCTCTCTTACTCTCTCTCTCTCTCCCTCTCTCCCTCTCTCTCTCCCTCTCTCTCTAATCATTCAGACTTGATATTAATTCATATGAATAATCGACCTAATTAAATAAAAACAGTCCCAGTTTCAGTTTCTTCTGACAAGTTATTTATTAATAATCATATTGAGTAACTGATAAATTAGTCACTAATTAAAATGTCGCTGGATCCAGTGAGATAAACAGGCTGATGTGTGTTAATGCAGTTTGTGCTAAACTCAAATATTGCACAAAGTGAAACACGTCTTTTTTAATCATCATGCCCCCCCCCCCCCCCCCCCCCCCCCCCCTATTGTTCTTCTCTGAACCTCAACAAACATCATGTCGTTATAGCAACAGCAGGTGTGCACTTCTTTACTGCACGTGCGACGAGCTTCTGGAGATCATCTGGAACATGTTTCAAGAAACGTGGTTTTAAAAATGTAATTTCAAATCTTAGTGTCGTCCTCAGCGGTTCGTCCTGAACCTTGAGTCCACACCTGCTTATCTCTGCAGAGGCCGAGTGATTCCAGGGTAGTTGAGTCTGTTGGTCTTATCAGCTGGAGACTTCCCCAGACTTCCACAGGTTTCTGTGGGAACCAGGTGGAGTCTTATCTGTGCGACGACGCGGAGGAGTTTCCCATCGTGTCTTTCCATTTAAAACAATTAAATCAATAAAATCACTGACAGAAAAACTGCAATTTGTAAATTACAGGTTTTCAGTCCGGTCACATGGCGAAGGACAGTTGCATGCAGTTCCCTCTCCTGCACTATTACTCACTATTACTCACTAATATTCACTATTACTCACGTATGACAGAGATGTTAAGGTGTTTTTATAAAGTTTGCACGTTTGCTGAAGACGGTAAAACCTTGAGGTTTTATTTTAACTAACGAGACAGAGCCTCTCCCACAGTGGAGCTGGAAGCTGGAGCTGCACGTGTCCGAGTCCTAAACTGAAGTTTCAGTTCAAGCTTAAAAACTTTGTAAAAACCTGACTGAGGTCAATTTCAACCTTCTGGCTTTCTGTCCTGACGAGTTCACGTTTCGAGTATTTAGCAAAAAAAATATTTGCACAGTGTGGAGCAAGAGTTCACGTGAATCCAGGTGAACGTCAGGAGGTGGAATCCTCAAACAGAGGAGCTGCACTGAGGGGAGACATCACAACTCGTTCCATTGAATCTCCTCTCCAGCGAGAAGCTGAGCAGTGGAGTCCGTGGTGGGAGTGGGCAGGGCCTTCAGGGGTCGAGATGCGGAGAGACTAACCTTCGGCACATGTTTGGTCCACAGCTCGGCACCATGGCGGCTGCAGCTCCTCTCCCCGTGCTCGTCCTCTTCTGCCTTCACATCCTCACCGCTTCAACTCAAGGTACGTTCATGAACCTTCATCCCTTCAGCAGCAGCAGCTTTCTTCTCATTTCACAGGAACATCAGAAGCATGTGTAGAAACTCTCCTCTGTTGAATTTTAATGTTTTATTCTTGGAGTTTTTTAAAGATTCTTGCTTCGACCAATTAGAAAAGAAATCAGGAGATGAGTCGGTTTGTTTAATGCAGCAGCAGCAGCGTGTTCATGTCGAGCAGAAAACATCAGCAGCTGCATGTTTGTGCTGCTACTTTTTTTTTTTTTTTGTGTCCTCAGATGAATATGAAACGTGTTGCACAACAGTGAAGCTCTGCACAGAGACAGAGCCACACACAGCGGCCAGCTCTTTCTAGTGAAGTGGCTTCCCAGGAATTCAGAGAGCACTTCACCGCCGAACAATGCCGAGCTGTTTCTGCTGCACCCCCCCCTCCTCAGTGGCAATGGAGACTAGTCGGAGTATTTGCATACATGAGCTGTGTTTTATCCACAGATTCAAACCAGCCCTGAGCACTCGAGGCTCTCCTCCTCTGCTCGGCCTCTTTATGTGACTCGGGCAGGGTCGGGTTCCCTCTCCTGACAGGTGTGTTTCCCGCCAGCAGCTCGTTAGCAGAGACCACGTGAGCCAGTGTCTGTGTGAAGCTCCTCTCGCTGCAGACTCGGCTCCACGCTTCTGCCAACTTGTAATGACCTGCAGGTTTTCTGAGGCGCTGCCCACGTCACAGATTGAAATCAGTGTGGGGGGTCTCCGCGGTGATTGGCTGCTCGCCGGTTGGAGGAAAAACAAATAAATGAAATTCAAGATTTAGATTACGATGCAAACACTGGATAAGGTTTTTTTTCTTTTTTTTCCGAGCTGAGCTGATTCTGGCTGCACGTATAAAAACCACCTGCACCAAAGAGGTCACGCTTTCAATTGCATTTGTTTGTCCTTGTGCAGGATTTCTCAAAAACTATTGAACACTTTTCCATGAAACGTTGTAGAGGGTCGGGGGCAAGGATTTCAGTTTGGCAGTGGATGTGGATCAGTGGCGGAGCCAGGGTTTTCTAGATCAGGAGCCGTGGAGGGGCCCACAATTACCCACGAGTCCTGCTTCAGTGTGTTGCACACTTGTTTACCGTCAGATTTGCAGATTTGAGCAAAGTCGCACATCATTGCATATATTTTCTATGTTTTTCTTTCCCTGTTCAAGCTGCAAAAAAGGGTCTCACATACCAGAGTTCCACTGCAGGAACTTTCCAGGAGCTGGGAACCTTTGCAGGATCTAGATTAAAGTCCGGGGGGGGGGTGGGGGGTACTACCTAATGAAAGTACAGGAACATTTGAGGAATCCGTCTCCTTGTGTGAATACACTTTTCTTTTTTTTTGAATCTCCAACATTTACTGATTTTTTGATAAAGCTCTGTCGTTGTATGGTCTTGTGTAGCTCTGCCCCCTCCTGGTGGACCGGAGAGGAGCAGCTTGTTGTTGCCGTCGCTTCTTCTTGCGTCAGCAGCTAACTTCCCTCATCTCCCTGGTATTCAGCTCAGAAACATCCTGGTACTTTAGAGATCAGATCACATCCCTCTGAGATCAGGACACTGGTTCTTAATGGGATTAGATTTCTCCACCAACACACTGCAGGTTTTTTTCCCATGTACATTTTACCTATGAGGCTTGTTAGGTGAGTAAAGAGCTGTAATCAGTAATGAGAGCACTGCGGCTTTGAGCCAAGGGAGGAAAGGGCCTTTAGAAATGCAGAGGACCAAGCGTTTCCCCCTGAGAGCGCACTGATTGATGTCTGAACATGTGACTCTGTAAATAAGCGTTTGGCCTGCGCTCTCACAGGAAAGACATTAATGGAAGCCTCTGTGCAGATGTTAATGGAAGCTATAAAAGGAAAAACACACATTAATTATCATCAAGAGGTTGCAGGAACACAGCGAGACAGTCGGCCGTGCTTCCACCTGATGGTTTGTGGCATCTGCTGAAGTTATGAGCTCGACCTTCAAAGGAAATTAACGCGAGCTGCTATTTCCTGCTGCCTTAGAAATCGTGGCTGAGAGGAAACACATCTGGGCTTGAAAAAACACACTGAGGATGTTTTCTTTAACCTCGAAATAGACCTGCGTCGGCAGCGCTCGGAGGGAAATCGCCCCGTAAACATGTTTACTCTCTCGGGTGGTGGTTCGCCTCAGAAAGACGAGTCCTGTAATGAGAACGCTGTTTGCTGTAAAGCGATATCACAGTGTTGAACAGCGGCTCAGTGTTTTGTGGCTCTAATGAGTGTGTTCACAAAGAGCTCCACGTCCACGGCTCTCATGTTTACTTACACCAGAGGTGAACTCCGCTGAGCAAACACGGCAGCACTTAACTCTGACACACAAGCACGAACAACCGGGCCTGTGAGTTCGCAGGCCGAGCCGAGTTGTTCTAATGACAACGACCCGTGTTCTCGACAGACTGTGTGTGGACGTGAGTCTGTGTGAGAGGCAGACGTCATGGAGCAGGAACACTTCTCTTTTCCCTTCGTTGCCCTTTGTCTCACTCGCTGGTGGAAGAAATACTCAGATCCAGATGTTAGACGACAGTAAAACACAGAGGTAAAAGTCTGAACACAGGATTTTTAGAAAAAAATACTAAAGGGAGCAAATTCTGACGTCATTCTATATCGTCTAACTCTGCATTTTCTATTTGTTAATGCATCTGAAGCGAAGTCACAGTCACGGGAACCTTTGGTTTTCATCCTGACACCGATTCCTCCTCCAGGCTCAAACAGAAACAACTCACATGGTGTATTTTTAACAACTGTATGGAAATTATAATAATACAGTAAAAAACGCTGACTTGAACTTGTTGAAAAAGAAAAATTAACAAGACGAAGCACACGTTGTTCTCAGGGTTAGCACTGACAGATCATCTACCTCATCTCTGTGAGCTGTGATTCATCTGCAAATAATTCACTCAGAGATGTTCCCCAACGTACACTTGTGGATTAAAGCTCCAGTGTGTAATTTAGGTGAAAGGAACTAAATCTAATGTAGAATAATCCTTGTGATGTTTTCACGAGTTCGTTTCCTCTAAATTGTATGAATTGTAGTTTTCTTTACCCCAGAAAAGACCCTTTATATTATAATACTATATTTATAATTAAATACTTTATATTTACATGGAGGGGACCCTCTCTACGGAGGCCGCCATGTTTTTTACATTAGTCCAGACTGAACAAACTAAACACCTCTTGAGTTTTTATGACAACTGAAGCTACCACAGGTTCTTTTCCATGTTTGGAAGGAGAGGGGGGGGTGAGGGGGGTTCAGCTGTGATGCAATCTCAACACTAGATATCACTAAATTCTACACACTGTACCTTTAATGCAAACTAATACTATGTAAACCTGATTTGTTGCTCATAGTCTTGTGAACAAATGTGGTGGAGTAAAGAGTAAAGAAAGTAAGAGGAGGTAAGATGTGGTTCAAATCTTCCTCCATCCAGTTTTATTTGTGTAGCATCAAATCACAACATTTCATCTGAAAGTTCTTCACACTGTAAAGTTGAATCCTCACAACGTTCTAGAAACAGTTTCCCACGACGAGCAGCGCTGCGGAGAGTAAAACACATCTTCACGCACTGATCCTGAACCACCACAGATCCCAGTGGAGATGTGGAAAATGAAATTTTGGAAAAAGAAAAAGTAGAGTCCTCACTTTCACACAAACAAAGCGGTACTGAATCATAATAAATCAGATCTCGGCCACGGTCTTTTGAAGCTCTCTTCTTGTGTCGCACTTTCCAAACCACCCACGTGGCCTCATTCATCATGTTGAGATGAGCCCTAGAAATGCTTTGCATAACTGAGTGTCAAATTGATTTTAGCCCTGGTCCTGAGCTCAGCACACTTCTTAGTCGGGGATATGGTAAACAGGTTATTTTTAACCTGTACCTCCCCTTCCCCGAAGCAGCCTGAGCCAGAGGTATTCATCATCCGCTCAGCTGCGGAGGAGCCGTCTTGTCCTGACACTTCTCGGTACTCAGCCAGCCCGTGCTTGTGTTTGCGCTGTTCCTCTCTGAGGTGTTGATCACAACGAGCTGAAAACTCCCTGAGCTAATTGTTTAAAGAGCCGGTTCATCCACATTTATCGAACATATACACAAGAAGAGCCCTGGATGCTAGTATTCACATGTGGGACTGGAAAAGATCAGATAATAGCATACATGTTTTAATGAATGCATCAGTTACACTTTTTAATTCCTTTTTTAAATTAATTAACAGATTTGGATTGACATAGACTTCTACAGTGTAACTATTAACTTAAATGTAAAGGAAACATGAGGACATAGTGAAGTTATGATATTAAAGAAATGAGCTGATGAATGACAGTTTTCCATCTTATCAGAAGAACATTAAACAAAGTCAGTGTAGAGCAGCAGGGAAAAGCACTCGGCATTACTTCTGTATAGATTCCAGATGGTATATAACTATTGTAGTACATATAGTATACGGTATATAGTTTCTGCAGTCAGCATATTATCATTTTGCACCAACAGGAAATGACACAGAGCACGGCAGTCTGACAGTTTGACAGATAAACGGCCGCTGCCAATAAAAACAAATTCCTTTTCCTGCGATCAAATCCATTGTTTGGTTTCACAGATTTTTCTGGCTCTGTCTCAACGCCCTCCACACTCTCTACAAACTCTTTGCAACTTAGAGGAGTTAGCTCCTGAGTTTGTTTTCATGCATTGCTCTGAGAGACCGTCTGCAGCACGCTTTGAAAAAAATATTTTTTAATTTTGCAGCACTGGCTTTTAATTGTCCCTGAAGCTGTGTGAACACATAGTTTGAGTTCATGCATCCAGTAGAACAGGATCCATGTGGTACATTCTGTGCTCCACCGTATGGGGAAACAAAAAAAAAAAAGAAGCTGATTCCACGACAGTCGTGGCAGTGAACTCTGCAGCGGCAGCTTTCGCTTGAAGAGCAGTTAAATGTCTTCCAGGAAAATGCTGGTTGTTTGCCCTGTGGCTGGAGCTCATTGGGGTAGAGTTACATCGTGTCCCTGGCAGGCAGCCGGGAGTCATAGAGAGTGAAACAGATGTTTGTGGTATAAAAAAAAAAGGATCAGATGTGTAATTATTGTCTCCCTGCAGTCCTCCCCGAGAGACGCCCACACATCACTGGCTGTGTCTCCAACAACATGGAGACTTTCCGCTGCAGATGGAATGTCGGCACTTTCCAGAACCTCTCCGAGCCCGGAGCCCTCCGCTTATTCTACATTAACAAAACGTGAGCCGGGAGACTTTGTCAGTACTTCCAGAAATAATGTGGTTTCTCAAAGAAATCGAGGTTCTCAGGCTTTTTTAAACAATGTGCAGGAAAGAAAGGGATAACTGCAAAACTGAAGTCTGATGTATAATCTATCTAAACATGAACGTGCATAATGAAATAAATCCAAGAGAGCCTGTATTTACACAAATCATGATCTGAAGTTGAAATGCACCTTTAGTTTCTATATTTTCTTTGGTTTTAAAGCCTTTTACGACTTATTATTGAGTTTACAGCTATTTTTACACATAAGATAATAAAAAATACAATACTTATTGTTAGTTTTACTATCATGTTGTCTTCCTCCCCCTCGCAGGCCGTTGCCGGACTTCCCTAAAGATTGGACGGAGTGTCCTCACTACAGCACCGAGCGGCCCAACGAGTGCTTCTTCAACGAGAACCACACGGTCATCTGGACCCTTTACAACGTCCAGCTCCGCTCGGCGGACCCAGCCGTCCTCTATGACGAGAACCTTTTCTACGTTCAAGACATCGGTGGGTTTGCTGCCTGGCTGTCACCATTGGATCTGCCCGTTGAATTGAATCCGCTTCTAATTAGAATCGTTTTTTTTGTGGAAATCGTGGAGGCAAATAAATACTTTATTTATATTGTGTTGTAGGTTGTATTCAGTTGTCCACTTACTTTTGTCCATGTCGTTTCTGGTACATGTATTGAATCCTGCCTGAGACCCTGAGGTGATTTTTTAACTTCCGCTCTGCAGTTCAACCAGATCCACCGTTCAGCCTGAACTGGACGCTGCTGAATGTGAGTTCGACCGGGTCCAACTATGACATCATGCTGAGCTGGAAGCCTCCAGAGTCTGCGGATGTGGAGATGGGATGGATGACTCTTCAGTACGAGTTCCAGCACCGCGACGTGAACTCTGACCTGTGGAAGGCGGTGGGCATCTCCTCCGTTTTATTTCGCCGTGTTAAATCCGAACTTTGGTGGAGTTGAAAACTGAAAACTTCACGTGTTTGCATCTTATTTTTTCTTCCCGGCAGTCCGACCTGGTGAGGAGCACACACCGCTCCCTCTACGGGCTCCAAACTAACGTCAATTACGAGGTTCGGGTTCGGTGCAAAGTGCCCGCAGGGAAAGACTTCGGAGAATTCAGCGACTCCATCTTTGTCCATATCCCATCTAAAGGTAAACATTCATCTTTACATTTATGACACTAAATAAAAAACTATATTGAATATGACTGAATTTGTGTGTTTCGAATCTTTCTCAGTGTCGAGGTTCCCGGTCATGGCTTTGCTCATCTTTGGCACCTTGTGTTTAGTGGCCATCCTGATGTTAGTTCTCATATCGCAGCAGGAAAAGTAAGTCAATGATCAACCTGCAGGTTTTCTGTGCAGCGCTGCAAGGGTTGAAAACGCTCAGAGAAAGGAGGGCGTGCAGTCGTCTGTGTGGACTGTCCGACCTTGAAGATCAGTCTCGGTGTCTGTGTTATCAGCGGAGTCATGTGTTACTGTGTGTCAAGTCTTTTTTTTTTTTTCTTTCCTCAGGTTGATATTTATTCTTTTGCCTCCGGTTCCTGGACCGAAAATCAGAGGAATTGATCCTGAGCTCCTGAAGGTATTCACACACACACACACACACACACACACACACACACACACAATGATGTTTGAGTGAAGCATGAACGAGGCCACATTCACAATCTCTGTCCACATGAGCCTGAAAACACATATCACGTGACCACTCACGTAGATCACTTGAATGACAGCTCTCGTCTCCTCCACATATAAACTGTTGTATCATTGTAAAATATGAATTTATCTGCACACCAGCTGTTAGCAAAGACAATGATGGTGTTTGTTCAGTAACTGGGTCATGTGACAGGATCCTGACGAACCAGCGAAGCTACCTGTAGCAGGGTTAAAGCATTTTCAGACAAAAGTGTAAAAGTGTGGCTGTAGCCTGAATGTAAATGGAGAAGAGACTCATCCCTCAAGCAGCTGACCCGACTCATCAGCTGATTGTGGCGTCTTATTTTCATTATGTCACAGAAAGGAAAGCTGAGAGAGTTGACATCCATCCTGGGAGGCCCCCCTGATCTGAGGCCGGAGCTGTACAACAGCGACCCCTGGGTGGAGTTCATCGATCTGGACATGGAGGAGCAGAGTGACAGGCTGACAGAGCTGGACACGGATTGTCTCGTGGACCGCTCCCTGTTCTCCAGCTGCTCTCCTCTCTCCATCAGCTTCAGAGACGACGACTCGGGCCGGGCCAGCTGCTGCGACCCGGATCTCCCCATCGACTCGGACGTGTCACCGTTCTACCCTCTCATCCCGAACCAAGCCCTCAGTAAAGAACCATCGTGCCTGGGGGCCTCCGAGCCGAGCAGCCCAACTGCCGCAGAGACGGCGACCGCGGCTCCTGGTCGGGAGGCTCTGTACACGCAGGTGAGCGAGGTGAGGTCGTCCGGCAAAGTGCTGCTGGCACCTGAGGATCAGACTGACGTGGGACAAGCTACAAACAAAGACTCGGAGAAAGACACTGTGGTGGAGCGGGAGAATGAAATGAAAGACTTTCAGCTGCTGCTGGTGGATGCAGATCACGGAGGCTACACCTCCGAGCTGAAAGCCGGGAAAATGAGCCCCAGTTTGTCCTCAGGGGATCTGAGCGAGCACGGCCGCACGGTGCCATCGCCTTACTACGGATCAGATGCCACCGCCTTGTCCCCGCTACCCTCCGCTCCTGTCTACACCGTGGTCGAGGGCGTTGACAGACAGAACAGCCTCTTACTGACATCGAACTCGACACCCGTCCCACAGATAATAATCCCAAAGCCCATGCCCACACCGGACGGCTACCTGACCCCTGAGCTTCTGGGAAGCGTCACGCCGTAGGTGGAGTGTGCAAAGTTAAGACTATTCACTCAAGGGCGGATACGTTTCGGAACAGTCTCGAGGATTGATTTTCCCAACACTGTGTTTTGATGCCAGCTCGCTTAAAATAGTTGAAGGGCCATCTGCGGCTGTCCCCCCCCCCCCTCGACAAGGCTGTGAAATCCACAAGTTTGTTATGAGCGATGGAGAGGACACAAGAATGTGTTGTGCTGCAGTTGTGGGAAGAAAATAACTCAACAGTCTGACGCCTCAAAACACGACCTCAACACTAGTTCTTAATGAACACAGGAAGCTGCAATAAACAAGTTTGGCCACTAGAGAACTGAACAATCCCCCGACGACCCCAACGTATTAAAGTTGAACTCTTTTATAACTCAGGTCTCCATCGACCCCTGAGGAAGGTCTCTGACCATTTAAACTTTTGTAGCTTCTCCATCAGGTTCAAAGGGAAATTATTTAACTCCCCCACAAGTCCTTGCCGGTGTGGTTGTAGGCTACTTTGCTAATTTGCTAATTTCCCACTGGTTTTTTAGGCTTCGGTGAAAAAACGGTGGAACCCTAACGACCGAGAGGAACCTTTAACCTCTTTCAAAAAAAAAATGCTGGGACTAAAAGTTTCAACAACTTTTGTGGAAATAAAATAATAAATAATAAAAAAAAAGAGTAAAAAGCTCTGTAGACTCGCCGACGATTCCCCGTTGACGCCTCTCTCATTTCATATCGTCTCAGAATTTATGATGTCGACTCATGCAGCACTCATTTTTCTTTGTTTGTTTTATTCTCAAAACTTTGTAATGATAACTTTCTTTAGGATAAAATCCAGTTCAGGGTTTGTATTGTCTGGAAGCGTGAACTCGCCGCCTCTCGTTTCCGTCTCAGGCTCTAACAGGTCGACTTGTTGTTAACCACCGTGAAGCAGAACAAAGTTCAAATGATCAACTGGAGCAGGAAATACTCAACATCATCTTATTTTAGTTCATTTTTCATTTCTTCGTTGACTTTTCGGAGCCGACAGCGAAAAAAGTATTAGATGGTTCGTCTTCTGAAGTAACAGTACACAGTGGAAGTACTTCAGCCAGTATTTTTTAATGCATGGACTCTTTTTTTTTTTTTTTTTTTGGTTTCTAGTAAAATGTGCGTGTTTCATGTCCATTTAATTGTTTAGGTACATTTTTCATCAGTGTTGAATTTGACAGTTTTTACATTTTATCTGTTTAAAAAGGGTCAAATAAAAACTTTCGTACTTTTGCTCTGGTCTCTCGTCTCGTTACTCTCTCACGTGTTTCCACAGGAGACTTGACTTTTGGAGAAGTAGGAAAGTTTTTGTGAACTAGCTCCTGCGGCGTTAGCCTCGTCCATTGTTAGCAGTTAGCATCCAGGGAGGAATCCCGTGTGTCCTGATCGAAACTCGAGCGTCCGTCGCTGTTTTCCTCAGTAAGTTGCTCTTTGTCGGACGAACGCGATGAAGAAGCTCAGCTGTTTTCACCTCGACGACTTAATGGACGAGTTCGCTCAACTGGAGCAGGTACGATTGTTAGCCAGTTGGCTAGCTTAGCCTGTTAGCTCAGAGTCACTAGCCAGTGAATACATGCATCTAGCTAACTAGCTCATCAGTGGCTAATTGAATGTGACTGTTAGAAGTATGAAAAGAAGAAACACAAGTTAATTAAACTTAAAGATGATGTCAGGAGTTTTATCACTGGTAATTAGTTCTGTTATTATAATTATCATCTGAAAATATCAAAGATACTTCATGTGGCTAATTATCCTCACTTTTTATCTTTCTATCTATCTATCCATTTATCTATCTATCCATCAAGTTATCCATCTATCCATCTATCTATCTATCCATCTATCCATCTATCTATCTATCCATTATCCATCTATCTATCCATCTATCCATCTATCTATCTATCTATCTGTTCATTTATCTATCTATCTGTCTATGCATCTATCTATCTATCTATCTATCTATCTATCTATTTACCTATCTATTCATTTATCCATCTATCTACCTATCTATCTATCTGTTCATTTATCTATCTATCTGTCTATCCATCTATCTATCTATCTGTTCATTTATCTATCTATCTATCTGTTCATTTATCTATCTATCTATCTATCTGTCTATCCATCTATCTGTTCATTTATCTATCCATCTATCTATCTTTATCTTTTATCTATCTATCTGTTCATTTATCTATCTGTCTATCCATCTATCCATCTATCTGTTCATTTATCTATCTGTCTATCCATCTATCCATCTGTCTGTTCATTTATCTATCTATCTATCTATCTGTCTATCCATCTATCTGTTCATTTATCTATCCATCTATCTATCTTTATCTTTTATCTATCTATTCAGATTGATTATTTTATTGTTATTGTCTGAAAATGCTGAATTATTATTATTAAGTTTCATTTCAAAACCTCCAGATGTGTATTTCTATCTTTCTTCATGTTTGTTGTCATATACAGATGCATTAGAATAAAGTCTGACACGTCCACTGTCTTTTACTTTCTTACATCAGACGATCACAGAGGTCAGCGGCAGAAACCAGCTGTTGGAGGTCGAGCTGGATGACGCCAACAGACTCGTTAAATTCTACCAGACCAAAGAGAAGAGTCTGACTGAAGGTGAGTTTTCTTTCTTTACAGAGAAACAAACTTTAGAACTTGATTGTTTTTCTGTCTGTTTGAGATTAAAGCTCCTGGTGGAGCCTCACTTGGTGTTTGTTTGCCTCCCTCTGCTGGTGATTTGGCCAAACGACAGTACTGCCATGCTGCATCGAGAAAAGAGAAAGTCTGAAGTTGTAACCTTCAGAAAATCAAATACTCAAAGTGTTAACATTTAAAAAAGCGGCTGATACATTGTTAAGTAATCACACTTCAAATACACGTGGACTTTAAAAGAAGCACACAATCCTGAAAGAGTAATTAATAAAAAATGATTCATCAATTTTCTAAACATAATGAAATGAGGAAATCTTGGCAATTGAAGGCAAACAAAAGGAAAAGATTAAAAGAAGTGTGACGATCACACAGCATTCGACAACATTGGGGCAGAAATATAAGAGGAACTTAGTAAAATAAAATAAAAATAAAATATTATAAAATGTTTAAAATAGTCAGCAAGCCTGTAATTGTCTTCATCAATGTGTTGCAGAGAGAGACAGCCTTCTTGTCACGGTGAACAGTTTGCATCAGACTCTTCAGGAGCAGTGCAACCTCAGAGGTAAATTAAAAATACCACAAAGGCACCACTGATACACAGAGAAGAAATATTGTATATGTTGCAGTGGAGAACGAGAGACTGAAGAGAGACGTGGTCGACCTGAAGCGACAGAACGAGAGAACGTCAGAGGTGAGGACTGAAGCACAAACGTTTCAAACCCTTTAGACTGGTTCATGTGAACTGGTCACCAGCTGAAGCCTCGGTGAGCGTTGTGGTCTGTGTGTCGTCAGGATGGAGAGGCTGAGGTCCAGCGGCTGCTCGGTGAAAAGGCAGCAGAAGAGGAGAGACACAAGAGGGAGCTAGAGGCTGTGAGACAGCAGAGCAGGAGGGAGGCGGAGCGCGCTCAGAGGGAGAGTTTCAATCAGGGTGAGAGCTCAAAACAAATCACTCAGATCCAATGTCTGTTTCAAATCACAAGACCAACAACTACTCATATAGCTGTACCTTCAGTCAAAAGGAAAACCCTCACAGACATCTGAATACTACTCCGTTATACACATCTCACATTTAATACAACTTTATTTTTTCAGTAAAACATTAATCAATAACAACAATAATTGACACGAATTTCAATAAAGTCCGTCCTGTCGTTTTTTAACGTAATCCTGTGACACTCAAACAAATAATACCTGTGGAGGTAATACTCCAAAGGCAGAGAACAACGAAACCAGTATTTTAATGATTACCCTGGTTTTGTTTATTTTCTGACAGTTGAGGCCAAAGATGCTGAAGTGAAGAAACTTCTGGAGAAGAAGGATCTGCATCTGGAGGAGATGAAGAAGAGGCTGAAGGAGCAGGAGAGAGAGAGGCAGAGCGAGCTTTTGAAGTTACAGATGGAGGTGAACAAAAAGAAGAAGCTGCATTTTACTTACGTCATCGAGATTTTAAAATTAAAGTCTGTAAATTTGTTATTTTCTCCTCATGTTGTCCAAGATGTGATAACAGATGATCTGAAGGGTTGAAGAGGGTCACTTCTATTTTCAGACAACGTGACACAAGCCACAGAAACGCTCCGTGGAAGAAGCACAAGTCTCGAGTCTTGAGTTTATTTGACGTTTTGCTTTGTGTGTTTTGTCAGTTTGGTGCGAAGTTATCCAGAGTTCAGAGCACAGCTCAGTGGAGGGAGCAGCAGCAGCAGCAGCAACAACAACACGGCTCCAGCCTCGTTCCTCAGAGCGTCTTCAAGAGGGTGAGCAGCCCACACACACTCCTTTAGATCCTAATGATAGAACTTAATTAACAACCTGAAGGTGTCACTGTGCAGAAACTAGAGCTCCACTGAATTATTATAATATATATTTGCCAATATGAAAGATTTTATTTTACAGTATAGAAAAATGCTGAAAAAAGGTCATCAGTGTCAGACTTGTTTATAATCCCTCCTTCTTGTTTGCATGTGTACACTCGTCTGTCGTGTCCTCAGAAGCTGCAGTTCATCCAAGAGGAGAAGAACAAGGAGATTGGGGCCCTGCGTCAGAGAATCAAAGAGCTGGAGGAGATCCAGCGCTCCAGCGGCGTCAGCGACAGCCGCCTGAAGAGAAGGAAGATGTAGTTAGTGTCGAGGTCAATGATGTTAACGAGCTGCTGACCTGTCGGCTCCGCAGGTGCACAGAGCTCCGGACTCACTGGAGACACAAGTAACTCCTAACCATTTCAAATAACTGATCAGTTTCATTTTCAAAGCAAAGCTGTCGACTCATCGTTCAGATCACTCTGCTTCTGATGCACAGTCATCCCTCACTAGATCTGCAGTTTGCTTACAGCTGAGCACAGCGCGGAGAACACATTGAAACAAACGTACCTGTCTAAGGCTTTAATCCAATCAGACGCCTGCAGGGAGGGGACGCAGAGTAGCTGGAAGTCCAGGATCGTTCAGGGAATTAAACCTATTTGTCTTTCTTAAACTAGGATCATTTAACTTTGACTCACTTCAGGTTCCTGAAAGTCAAGCTGTTCTTCGACTGATGTTGACGATCTACTATTTGTGTTCAAGGACTTGTTTTCTTGTCCATGTTGAGAGAAGCAGAGGTCTGCAGTGACCAGAGTATTTATTATATCT